GGTTTAGGGTTTAGGGTGTACGGCTTGGGATTCCCAGCAATTCTGGGTTTGGGGGTCGGGGTTTTCAGGTGTAGGGCTTCAGGGCCCAAGCATGGGGGTTTAGAGTGGCAAACTATCGGTTTCAAGCAGGGTTTTGTAAGGGCATTCGGCTATGTTGGGGGGCCGCAGGGGGCTTTAGAGGGGTATCTCGGGTTAAGGGGTGTTGGGGTTGCCGGCTTCGGAGGAGTTATGGTACACAGTAGGCGGTCTATCGTTTCGGCGGTTCGGGGTTTCGGCCTAAGGCTGAAAAGGCTTGGAACTTCGCACGGGGTTGACTGCAGCTTTTGGGGTTTAGTCCTTAAGGTTTGGGTTTAGGGTTTTGGGTTGTAAGGTTTGGGGCGGCCAGAAAGAGAATGAGGGCGGGCAAAGTTTTGAGGCTTCTGTATGCCTCGGACACTCCGGCCTACGACCCGACTCGACAGGTTTAAGGGATTCGAGATTTGGATCGAACTGCGCATGCAGGCTCCCTGGTTCAGAATTCACCCCCTTCCTGTCCCGAATTAGTGCCTAAAGCTATAAACAAGGTTGATTGCATCACGGATCATACAATTCTGCTGAAGAAGGGGGTGGTTTACTAGCCGGGCTCGGCCCCGAAAACCCGGAAGCCTACAAGCCTACACTCCTTAATCCCGGACCCTACAGGCCTCAAAAAAAATATCCACACTCTACCTTCGCAAGGGCCCGAACCCCACATATCCAGCCCTAGACCTCTGAAGGCCCTCAAAATAACCCCAACGCTCCAGAGGCCTTGCTACGGCGACGCCAAACTCCAAGCCGAAACCGCGCTCTCTCCCAGGCTCCACAGACTGTCTTCAGAGAGCGGATAATACAGGGGCCTCTTAATAAGTACAAGAGGGTTTTGGGTAAGTTATACGAATTTTTATTGTGATAAGGAACCCCCGAAATAAGATAGGCCCCTCTACTACCCGGGCCAAAAGACGTGAAGGTCGCTATGTTCAGAGCTTAGGGCTTGGGATTTGGGACTTCAGGGCTTCGGCTAAGGCCAGCGAGTAAGCAGGGCTGCCAAAATAGGGAAGATCCGGGGTTTAGGGTTTACCGGATCCCACCATGCCCACATACGCCTCCCGCAGTACTTATTTCTGGCTCCTACACAGAAGAGCTGTGGCTGAGGGTGTCGGGCACAGAGGGAGGGGCTTCCCAAAACCACCCCCAACACACGATCACCTTTGAAGGAGCCCTTAAAGGATTCCTTAAAGGATTCCTGAAAGGATTCCTTAAAGGATTCCTTAGAGGAACCCTTAAAGCCTTAAAGGAGCCTCTTTAGAGCAACACTTAAAGGAACCCCTTTTCAAAGGCAAAGAAGAAGGCCGCCGAGGCCAGGCACCCCCGAGGAAAGGCGGTCTGCAGGCTTGCAGTTGCAGGCCTTGACGCTGGGGTTGAGGGTTCAGGTTTAGGGCTTCGGGTTTAGGGTTTAGGGTTTAGAGCTTGAGGTTTAGGGTTTAGGGCTTGGGGTTTAGGGTTTAGGGTTTAGGGTTTAGGGTGGGGATGAAACTCTTCGTGCGGTCCTGCCCGACTGCAAAGGGAACCGAAACCCTAAACCCGAATCTCTGTCTGACGGGGGCATTCTCCTGTTCCAGGTTCTGCATCTTATCCTCAAGAGCACACCCGACCAGAAAACCCTGAACCGTTTAGAGCTGGGCGCTTCACGGGTTGGGGATCCTAATATCTACTGGGGCCTTTATGCACTTGGATCGCCGCTGGAGTCCCTCCTGGGGCCTTGTCGTTTCAGTCAAGGGGCCTGAATAATCCACAGTAGTATCCCCACTATAGT